CTCGAACCACTACTACTACTACTATTACTACTACTACTACTACTACTACTACTACTTCTACTGCTACTACTACTACTACTACTACAGCTGCTACTGCTACTACTAGTACTACTGCTGCTGCTGCTACTACTACTACTACTACTACTACTACTACTACAGCTGCTACTGCTACTACTAGTACTACTGCTGCTGCTGCTGCTGCTACTACTACTACTACTACTACTACTACCACCACCACCACGACTACTACTACTACTACTACTACTACTACTACTACTACTACTACTACTACTACTACTTCTACTACTACTACTACTACTGCTAGCACGACTACTACGACTACTACGACTACGACGACTTCTACGACTACCCCTTTCTTCTTTCTTCAGCACCCCGGCAGGCATGAGTGAAGACGGGGCAGGCTTGGAGTCCGACAGGTACCGATGCGGCGTGGAGCAGAGAGAGAGAGAGAGAGAGAGAGAGAGATTGAGAGAGAGAGAGAGAGATTGAGAAATAGAGAGAGAGAGAGAGAGAGAGAGGCGGCGCAGAGCAACGCCGCCGACAACGCTGCTTCATGGACGCGGCCACCTGGCCTCACTGAACGTCTCACTTCTTGCGAGAGCGGGCGCTGATATCGCTGGCCGCACCCCTCCACGCCGCCCGCCCGGCCCGCGGCGACCTGGGACGGCGGATCCTCAAGGTTGGCCTTTTGGGGGCGGGGCTGCTGCTCGCACCGCGACCTCGGCAGGGGCCGCCCGTGGCGCCGGGCGCCAGACCGGGGAAGCGAGGAGGGGTGGCGGTTAGGGGGAGGGATGGACCCGGTAGCAAATCACCCTGGAGCGGCATGGGGAGGGATTGACGCGGCAGGCGGCAGGGGCGGCAGGGGCGGCAGGGGAGGGGGGGAGCGGCAGGGGAGGGAGCCTGGCATAGCCTCTCCATTCCGTCTTGAGCGTCGGTGCGCGTCGGGGAGTCGATGGGATCGCGCCGATTTCGCGTCGGCTCGCGTCCATGAGCGTCAATTGCGCGTCGGTTCGCGTCGACGAGCGTCGATTAGCGTCGATTCGCAACAGCCGACAAGATGGTATGGGAGGCTCCCATGGGTTGCCACCGAAGCCTACCAGGGGGACGATCAGGGGTGGCGGCAGGGGAGGGATTGGCTGAGTGTTGGGGGGGGGCGGGAGAAGTCTCGACCCCCAGTCGACCATCCGTCGCCGATCGGGGCGCGGGTGTCCCACTGCCCAGCCCAGGAAGGTGCGTCCTCCTCCTCCTCCTTCTTCCCCTCCTCCTCCTCCTCCTCCTCCTCCTCCTCCTCCTCCTTCTCCTCTCCTCCTCCTCCTCCTCCTCCTACCCTTCCTCTTCCTCCTCCTCCTCCTCCTCCTCCGCCTCCTCCTTCTCCCCCTTCTTCTCCTCCTCCTCCTCCGCCTCCTCCTCCCCCTTCCTCCTCCTCTTCCTCCTCCTCCTCCTCCTCCTCCTTCGTCTTCTCGATCTGTCGGCGATGGCCCGCTGGTTCCAGGTCAGCGCTTCTCTTTCGCAGTAATGGAGAAGACCGCGGGTTCCAGGTCGGCGCTCCCCCCCCGCAGTACTGGAGAAGACGGAGGCTCCAGCGGGATGCCGCAATGTGCAATGCTCGGGCTACCCTTTGAAGTGTGGCCACGCTGTCGCCGCCTCTGCTCGGGCGTGTCGCGCCCCCCGCGGACCCGCCCCTCGGACGAAGGTGCTCTCGGCGGACGCCAAGTAATCAAGTCAAGCGCGCGATGGGCTTCGAGAGGGCCAGGTGAATCGTGAAGCGGGAAGAGGACGGAGGGGGGAGGCGAGGACACCGCATTGATTTCCATCCGTTGAAACCGAGACACTACAATTTGTAGGTGTTGGTATACATCTATATAGGTTTCCGCACACCACATGAGACAGGGAGCCTGTTGAGTATTGTGTGTTGTGCTGGAGACGGAGGCTGTTGAGTACTGGGTGTTGTGATGAAGACGGAGGGAGTTGAGTAGATGATGGCTTTCAAATTCAGCGTATGGAGGGAGCCTGTTGAGTAGTGGGCCTTGCGTTGGAGACGAAGGTTGGGTAGTACTTGGTGTTGTGTCGTCGACGCAGGGAGTGGAGTAGGATATTATTTTTAGTTCAGTTTCGCGCCCGCGAGGAAGCGCCGCCCCGAGGCGCCACCTTTACTAGAGGACAGTGCCACGGCGCCCGCGCGCGCCTCCGACGTGGGCGGCGCTGCGTCGCGCGCGGAGGCGGTGGCTGGCCGGTGCCTCAAGTCCTCAGCGCCAAGAGGTTCAGCGTGGGCACGAGTTCCTCGAGTCTTGGCGTGCGGCGGATCGCTCTCTGGAGGACCTCGCGCGGATGATCTCTTGCAGCGACGCCCTCATGGAGGCCTCGCTGCGCGTGGCACCGACGCGCGAGCTGACGGTGGCGCGCGCGCGCCTCGCACGATCCGCGGGCTCTCCGCGCGCGCTCCGCCCCGCGTGCGATGGCGCGGGAGCGCCGCCGCGCGTGCTGACGTCTGTGCGGCGTCTGGCGCCGCCGCTCCGGCTGTGCCCCCGAAGACAGGCGGCCCTGCCGCCGCCGTTCGGTCCGTCCAACAGAGGGCGCCGATCGCGCCCGCGTTGCCCCGCGCCCGCGGGCGAGGCCTCCCTCGCGGCGGGTCGCGAGGCGGCCGCCGCGACTGGCTGGCCCGCCGCCGGCCGAGGCGCGCGAGCGCTGCGAGCGCGAGGACAGTGGCGAGCGCCGCTCGCCAGAGGGCGGCTCCGAGGGCAGGGACACATGGCAGCGCCCTCCAGCCCCCTTCCGCGGCGCGGCGGGCCCGCGAGCCCCCCTCGGGTCAGGGGGCCGGGCCGCGCTCGTCGGCGGCAGGGGCGGCGGCCAGACGTCCCTGGGGCGGCGAGGCCAGCGGCGCAGGGCGGCCAGGTGGTGGAGGAGCCCACGGCGGCCACGCCGCTGGCGCCGGGAGCTGCCGAGCCCGCGAAGACCCGGCGCGGAGGCGGCTGTGGGGCCCCCCGCCGGGCAAGGCTCGGGCGTCATTCCCTGGAGCCGCGGGCGGCGACCCATCGGGGCCCCGCCGTCCGCGCGCGCAAGTCGGGGACGGGGAATTGGCCTATGTGGACGCTGTGCGAGACAGCCGCGCGCCCCGAAGGAATTCTCCTGTCCTTCGTCCCTGTTCGCATGCCAGCCCACGGCAGCTCCATTCACTCCCTGGCCTCGCAACGACCTCTTGTGCCACGCCGCCGCCGAGGATGGCAGCAAGGCTGCGGGCCTTTGGGCATCCGTCTGCGGCACGAGGTCTTCATGGACACGACGCCAGGTGGTCGGCCCCTCACCCATGCAGGCTGGCTCCTCGGTGCCGTTCCTAAAGAGCACGAGCGCGCTCACGGAATGCAGTCGGCGAGCCCGCGCTCCGCTGGCCCGGCGCCCTCCGGATGGCGGCCGGGGGTCTAGGACGCGTTGAGAAAGTGCGCGGGGAGTGGACAGTTCTGGCACTCCTCTTTCTTGGTTCCTTCGCTCCGTCCCAGCTGTTCGATCGCCGGCGCAATCCCGACTCGAATCGGCTGGCTCGTCGCCGTCTTGCTCAAGCGCTGGTGCGACAGTTTTCTTTGCCATTCCTTTCGCTTGCACCACCCCCCACAATGCTAGGTCTTCCCTTTCCTCTGCGCGCATTTTCGATAACATGGGAACGCAGTTGATTTCATTCGAAAGCAGTTGTTTTGTTCTCTTCAAGTCGAACGCTCGTAGAGCACCCGAGGGCCTTCGGAAACCTTCGAGGACCATCGCAAACACGCGGGTTGATTTGGGCGGACTTGGCTCTTCGGCAGGTGAGCGGCGTCGAGGAGGCGATCGCGTTCATTCAGCGCCCCGCCACCCGCAACCCGCTGATCGCTTAGCCAAGTGGGCCATCGCCTCGCCGCCGAGGGGCGCCCCCAGCGCCAGAGTCTCACTAACAACAGCTGGCGTGTCAAACGAGAGCGCGATAGGCACAGGGAGCACACAATAGGTATCTCGGACCACCCTCATCCCTCCTCGTCCATTGTCGTCATCATCTGCATCCCTCTGGTCCTCCCGCTCCTCCTGTCGCTCGTCATTCGTTCTCGTCCTTCTCGCTTTTCTCCTCTTCCCAGCTCTTCCTCTTCCCTTGCTATCTCATTCCGATCATCTTCCTATTCCTCTTTTGTCATTTGCCTTTGCCGTCCCATTTTCCACTTTATCTACCTCCGTGGCACGACCAGCAGGAAACAGGATCTGATTCAGGAGGGGGTGGCACCAGGAGGATACTTGGGGAAGCGTGAGGGAAAAGGGCGAGGGTTTGAATCGGGGGGCGGGGGGAGGACGAAGAGTAGGATGAAGGAGGAGGATCAGGAGTTGAAAAGGGAGGAGGGAGGAAAAAGAGGAGGAGGTACCCCTATGGACCCCTTGTGCGCAAGGAGCTGCCTTCGCCCGCGCCCAGTCGTGGCGCCCTCGGGGGCTGGGTGCCCGGTGGCCTGCTACTCCGAGGACGGGGCCGCCGTGGACGCGTTCCTGGCGGGAGTGTCGGCAGGCCTGTTGTCGCGGGCCCCCCCCCGATCGTCGTTCGAGGAGGAGGAGGAGCGGACCAGGAGGAGGAGGAGGAGGAGGAGGAGGAGGAGGAGGAGGAGGAGGAGGAGGAGGATAATCTAGGCCTCCCGATCGTCGTTCGAGGAGGAGGAGGCTGAGGAGGAGGAGGAGAATCTAGGCCTCCCAGATGGGGTCCGGGCAGATGGGGTCGGAGGATCGCGCCGCATCGCCGATGCGTCGGCGATGCGGTTCGATGCGGAGCCCGGTTTTCTCCACGCAGATGGCGCCGATGCATCGCCAACGTCGCCAGTGCATCGCCGATGCATCGCCGATACATCGGCGATGCATTGGCAATGTGGCGCGATCCTTCGACCCCATCTACTCGAACCCCTCTAGGAGGCCTCAGGAGAATGATGAGTCTTGACGCTGCGGACGAGACGCCCATAGAGTGGCCAATGCATGATGATGATGATGACGATGGCGATGCTGATGATGATGATGATGATGATGATGATGATGATGATGATGCTGCTGATGCTGCTGCTGCTGATGATGATGATGATGATGATGAGGAGGAGGAGGAGGAGGAGGAAGAGGAGGAGGAGGAGGATGATGGTGGTGGTGGTGGTGATGGTGATGGTGATGGTGATGATGATGATGATGATGATGATGATGATGATGATGATGGCGATGACGATGACGATAACGCTGATGATGTTGATTCTGATGATGATGGTGGTGGTGATGATGATGAGGATGCTGTTGATGCTGATGCTGTGTGCTGATGCTGCTGATGATGCTGTTGATGCTGCTGCTGATGATGCTGACGATGATGACGACGATGATGCTGATGATGATGGTGGTGATGAGGATGACGATGATGATGCTGCTGATGATGATGCTGATGATGACGATGACGATGACGATGACGAAGATGGTGATGAGGATGATGCGGAGGCGGAGGATGAGGAGGATGGAGGGAGGGAGGGAGGGAGGGAGGATAAGGACGAAGGGCAGGAACATATGATGATTCAGGTTTTGATGATGGTTTTGGTGGTGCTGATCCTGGTGGTGTATGCTGATGCTGCTGATCATCATGTTAATGATGACGATGACAATTACGACGACGAAGTCGACGACTATGATGATGACGAGGCTGATGATGATGATACTGGTGGAAATGATGATGATGCTGATGATGACGATGCTGATGCTGTCGATGATGCTGCGTGATGATGATGGTGATGACGATGATGATGGTGGTGGTGGTGGTGGTGATGGTGATGAAGCTGTTGTTTCTGATGATGATGGCGATGCTGATGCTGAGTATGATGCTGCTGCTGCTTATGATGATGATGATGATGATGGTGTTGATGCTGAGGATGCTGCTGCTGATGCTGATGACGATGATGATGCTGCTGATGATGATGCTGATGATGATGATGATGACGACTATGAGGAGGATGCTGCTGCTGATGATGACGCTGCTGCTGCTGATGATGATGCTGAACATGATCATGATGATCTTGCTGATGATGATGATGATTCTGATGCTGATGGTGCTGATGATGATTACGGTGGTGATGATGATGATGATGATGATAATGCTGCTGATACTGATGATGCTGATGCTTATGATTACGATGATGATGATTCTGATGATGATGATGCTGATGATGATGATGCTCATACTGATGATGATGATGATGATGATATCCTGATGCTGATGATGATGCTGATGCTGACGATGATGATGCTGATGATGATGCTGATGATGATGATGATGCTGGTTCTGATGCTGATGCTGATGCTGACGATGCTGATGACGGTGGTGGTGATGATGCTGATGATAGCGGTGGTGTTGGTGGTGGTGATGGGGGTGATTGTGGTGATGATGTTGATGATGATGCTGATGATGATGACGATGCTGATGATGATGATGATGATGATGCTCGCTGATGATGATGATGATGATGATGATGATGATGCGGAGGATGATGATGACTGTTGCTACTGATGATGCTGCTGCTGATTCTGCTGATTCTGCTGATTCTGCTTGTGCTGCTGATTATGATGATGACGATGACGATGACGATGATGATGATGATGATGATGATGATGATGATGATGATGATGACGATGACGATGACGATGATGATGATGATGATGATGATGATGATGATGATGATGCTGATGATGCTGATGATGATGATAATGATGAGTATGATGATGATGAGTATGATGATGATGATGATGATGATGATGATGATGATGATGATGATGATGATGATGATGATGATGATGATTATGATGATGATGATGATGATGATGATGATGATGATGATGATGATGATGATGATGATGATGATGATGATGATGATGATGATGATGATGATGATGATGATGATGATGATGATGATGATGATGATGATGATGATGATGATGATGATGATGATGATGATGATGATGATGATGATGATGATGATGATGATGATGATGAGAGGGAGGATGAGGAGGAGGAGATTGAGAAGGAGGAGGAGGATGAGGAGGAGGGAGGGAGTGAGGGAGAGAAAGAGTGAGGGAGGGAGGAGGGAGTGGTCATGACGATGAGGGGGATGAAGGCGAGATGAGAGTCTTGGGATACATGAGCGAGAAGGGAGCATGGTGACGGTGATGGCGACTAAGACGACGATATCGTCTGGCTTTCCCAGGGAACATCGCCGTGAACGCGGGCCCGCAGGACGCCTTTGCAGCGGTGATCGCCCAACTGCGGCCCCGCGGTTGCGACGATTCTTTCACTTTGCCCACCCAATCCTTTTTTCGTTCCTCCTGCCCTTCCTTTTTCTTCCCATCCTGCTCCACTCCCACCCTCCTCCTTCTCCTCTCTCATCGCCTCCCTCTCGTCTCCCCCCCGATCCTTCCTTCTCTCTTCGTTCCCCCTGTCCTCTCACGGCC